ATTATTATTCCTTAGTCTAAGATGTTCTGACTGTCCCATAGAGAATTCTAGAGTAGACTGTCTTCAATTTTTCATAGCTACGTTGATTAGACGAACATTAGCTCGTGTTCATCTGAAAATCACTAAAACGTTAGCCCACGCTAAGACAAATAATAGGACGGTACCTCCCACGGTAATATTATCATACAGTAGGACAACTCAGCCGAATGACAGAGTTAAATACCTACAGCCGCGCGGTACGTAAACATGCATTAGGGCTGCCCTTTAATTACATTTGCCTACATTCTGTTTCTATTCAGTTTTTATTTTATATTGTAGTAGCTTTTACCCGCGGCTTCGCTCGAGTCACAAAAGGATAAAAAGTAGCCTATGTGACTATCCATCCGTTCAACTACCTTCAGTTAAAAAATCACGTTAATTATTACCTCCGTTCTGTCGTTAAAGACAGGCAAACAAACAAATAGCTTTCCGCTCGCGTGGAATTCGGTTATATCGCGCTATTTAGATTTTTCCATTATGTAGGTAATTCGTTGTCTGGTTTTAAATGACATACGACGCCACGGAATATAGAATACATTTTTATTGATCCACGCCTATTATAGGCATTTATGTACGTATACATGGAAAATCTTTACCAGATTTGGCACAGTTCCCTTCGACGTTATTCTCTATAACACTACTAGAATGAGTGTATGTTTGTATTCTATATTCCGTGTACGACGCCATCTATACGTACATACAGCGCCATCTATACCAATGTTTTTGTTTTTCCTAGGAAATATCAATTTTTCCGTGATAAAAAGTACCCAATTATTTAATCCAGACTTCTAACTTTACGTCTAAATTTCAAAGCAATCGGTCAAGTAGTTACGGCGTGAAGGCGGAACAAACAAACAAACAAACTCACTTTCCGATTTATAATATTAGTAATATTATTAATCTCTCGGATTAGCTTAATAAGAATAAGGTACCTAGGTACTTACTCATTTTTTGTACACCAGGGTGCTTACTCTTGAAACCAATCTCAATGTCAATGCAATTTCAATCCAATAAAACCTCAATAATTATTAAATGTCAACACTATACAACTACAATCGTAGCTGTTACAATAGCATTCAGAGTACGGAATATAAAGCCAAACTCACATAGTTCATTCAATATCCGCGCAATACGGATGCAATGGGCGCTAGTGTTGCAACTCAAGAGTACGAAATTTCACAATACCAATGTCGATCGATCGGAATTGGATTCAAGAGTAAGCCCCCTGATATTACTATTATAGTTTTACTTTTGTAAAGCAATTAACTTCACAAAATAAAATAGTTTAGAACTAGTGTAATGTTTCATTTTCTTAAATGTCACCCTCCAGGCCCTGCCTGAGTAACCTTTAAGTCCTTTCATCTTGCGAGTGTACCTACGTCTTTCACTGCGCTTGTCGGTACATGGCCTTTACTCGAGAACCTTTCTGCCCCAGCAGCCCTCGGTTCTCCCCGGTATGTGCCCTTACATGACGTTTAACACTTTCTTAAATGTAATAATAGGTACTTACTTATATTATGGAATTTAATCATTGTAGTCAGAGCCGTGTTGAACCAAGTGACAGAGTGGCGCCGCGAGATGCGCGTGCGCAACTGCCAATAGAGTGACGGCGGCGACTAGGACGCTCTCTAGGTTTAATCTGTCTGGACTTGGCTTGAGGTCATAAGGGTCAAATAAAAAACCACTTTAAAATCATTACAGTTACCTTTATTATGAAAATCTAATTCTATTACACAATTTGATTTCTAACACATATTAATATCACATTTTCAAAATATGTTTGATGACTACACAGCCCGAAACCATATTCAATATTATTTTAAGTATTCTCGCATATTGAAATGAAATCGTAAAATATGGAGCTTAAAGTTCAAACCTCTTAGAAAACGGACGATGTTTTTGCAAATTATTAAAATTTAAGAACAAAATTCTAGTCAATGAGGCTTCTGGCTCGAATCGGGGCGGCTGGAGTGCACCGCTCGTTGCCCGCCCTCGCGCCGCTGTTTTCAAGAACCGATCCATTTGTTTTTACGCATAAGATACTGCCGGTCTAAAGAATGAGTTTTGCTGCAGAAGAATAAATACCGCCCCTACTTTTACCGCGGGTGTCGTACCCGATTGAAGGCTACACATCGACAGAGACCGGGCAGCAGCGCTCTCTGATAATCCTGAACTTTTTCAACTGTGAACTAATTGTCACACGCCTAAGGGGCTGCCTGCACGAGCGAGAGAATCGCGACGAGTCCGCCCTTCTTCTCCACGAACGAGCGATAATTCCGCCGCGTATGGTCGCGAGTCGTTACGGTATCGCCGCGTTTCCTTGACGTCACACTTGAGGCAATGCTGTAATGATGCTGCGTTTGACAGCGCGCCCGCCAAGCGCTCGTCGCGAGAGCGCCGCGAGCGCGCGGCCGTCGCGTTGCTAGTCGCGGGGGGCTACCGACGATGTAATGACGTTTTGCGCATTCGTTGCCACTCGTCGCATCGCGGCGATAATATCGCCGTATGGAGATGGTTCCATAGAGTGTATAGAAAAACGTGGCACGGCGATAATATCGCCGCGATTCTCTCGCTCGTGGAGACAGCCCCTAAGGGACTTCACATTAAATAGACTGGGCAATAGAACTCTATAGGAATTAAACCACAATGCCCAGGCAATTTTTTGATAACCTTCCTTTGGTCTTTGACAGAGCATCACGTCTTTTTCTTGTCGTTTTGAAAGTCGTATCGATTCCTAAATAGCGTCAGATGACAATTAATTTCACAATTTCACATCATATTTAAAAATAATTCCTTTCAAAGATACGATTTAAAAAGAAACCTTCGTTAAACAATAACAAGTTACCAAACATATAAGAGGCCCAGCCTTTCATTTATTGCTTAAAATTTACACTTTAAAGATTCATATTAATTATTATTATTATTGCATTGTTCGATTTTAACTAAAATAGAGTTTAATCCGTTATGAAAGTATACAATTACATTTTCGCGTTGTCCATGTTCTGTTCACACGTGTCATGTATCGACGACATATCGAGCGAAGCCGGCAGATGGCGCCTGACATACAGGGTGGAATGTTGTAATACGACCTGAAGTACTTACTCTTAATACGTAAGATAGAAAATTTTACTGAAAGAAAACATTCCTTTATTTTTGAAAGGAAACAAAACGGCATACAACGACTAAGATCTGTAAAAGTTGCAACGTGTATATTTATTGCATCAATCGTTACTAGGTTCAATAAGGATGAAATTTCTTTAACAAACTACGTAAACTGAATGAAAAGAAAACAATGAAATCTTAAATTATTAATTCAATGATTGACCCAATAGTTAAAGCATTTAAAGTATTAAGAGTTCCCCTTAAGGACAAAATTCCAATGGCATTACAAAATTCCACTCTATATATGGTGACAATGCGCAACTGGTGTCCGCAGTAACGTTGATATTGCTAGAAATGTCGACCAAAGTCTGACAACGTCGCCCTACTCCACCCAACGTCGCTGGCGACACGTGTCGCAGGCCACCTGTCCCCTAGTGTATTCTAGGCTTTAAAGCTCTGTACAGACGGCCACACATCAATCTATACAAAACCAGTTTATCCTGGTGTCGCGTCGCATCATCTTTCCGCACATTTAACGTTCAGTTTATACTGGTTATGTAAAGCTCGATGTGTAGCCGTGTACAAACGACATTAGATTGACAACGCCTTAAAATCGACACTCACGCCATCTGCCTTAGCAAATACAGTCTTATCTATTGAAATTAATGTTTTACTTTTGTCAAATTTTACAAGTTTTCAAGTCAAAATGAAGAAGATAATAATATTTTTAGATAGACAAATGTTTAAAAGGTGATTTGATGACTAGACTAAAATTTTATACGAAGGCCTTTTAAAAACCTAAAAAGGACAAGTAGTTATTAGTAAGTAATCAAAAGGCAATGAGTATTATTCTTAAATTACAACCAAAAATAAATAAGGCCTAATTCCTAATTTTAACATTTGAAGTTGATTCTAAGTCACTTGAAGATATTCATCAAATTAGTTACAATAGATCTTAATTTATAACTAGAGGTCGCCATTATAAGTTGACTGGACAATCTCTACACTACACGAGTCACTGTTTACATGTCAACATTAGCTCATGACGATACCAGCGTACGTGTGTCACTGGACAGTGAAACCCGCTACCATCAGTTGACTGGACAATCTCTAGATAGTTATAAATTAATAAGTGACATTGAATCAACGCTTGGACTCTTTTCACACACTCCGAATACAATTGTCACCACCCACCCCTACTCTTCCCGCTGGTATGTTATCCGGACTAAAGGACTACACATTTGAGAGAGACTGGACATTAGCGCTCTCTGATAATCCTGCAGCTGTAGCCAAATTCCATTTAGCGCTTGTCTACATGTAGAATAGAAAACCAAATTATATGGAATTGACGTAAATTTTGACACTTGTCAGTGTCATCCCCATACATTTAGTTTTCTACTCTCTCTGTAAACAAGCGCTAAAGTGGCGTTTGGCTAAAGGCACAGAATCTTTTATACTGTGATCTCTAACCCGCCAATTGGGATTGTGGCAAATCCTTCTTGCTTAGTTGAGATAGTCCAGCAATGGCTGTATGATTGTTGATTCCTAACAAATGAACATGACTGTTGATATGTTTGGAATCATTAGCATAGGGTGTGATTTGATTATTTCGTTCTAACTTAGAATCATTTTTGGAAATTAACATTTAGTTTATTATAAGCGAGATATATGAACTATTGTTACGTTATAAAATCTGTAAACCACCATATTTCAGGCAAATAAATGAATATTTGTATTGTAACTTTCGTGAGACATACTTAATAAATTATTGTGTTTTCGGCTTACTCACGTAATAATTTGACGAGGAACTCGACTAGTTTCAAGCCATGCTAGAGGCTCATATTTACGAGCAGCTCATATTCATTTACGTGAGTAAGCCGAAAACATAATAATTTATTAAATAAATGAATCTATTTACCTATCAAAGTACCTAATACGTCAGTTTTAAGTTAAATACGATCGAAATTGTCACTGCGTTAATTGCTCCGACAAGCCAACTCCAGTGAACCAACCGATCAGAGAGCGGTAATGTTTTAAACTCGTTATACATAAAACTAACTCGTTCTAACCTAACAGAGAGTGTGATAAGAGACTATCTTTCTAAAATAAGCGCCTAGCGCTGGTTCAACTAAATTTTATATCTATCACAACATTTTTAACACAATTCAATTTGTTTATTCGCAGTGGTTATAATATAAAACCTATTTATTATTATTATTACTACTAAAAACATGTTTCAAGTGCTGTTTTCCATGCTGATTCCTTGTCAGTGATGATTTTGGCTGCTAGAGATAGCTCCGAACAGCGCAAATGGCTAGAAAAAAAATTATCGTTCTAAATGGAGTGTGGGAGAGCCATGCTTCGGCAAAAATGAGCCGGCATTGCAACGCCTCTGGTGTACTAGGTGTCCACGGGCGACGCCGATTGCTTACCATCAGGTGATCCGTCTGCTCGTTTACAGGCTTATGCCATAAAAAAAAATATGTACGCCGCACTATACATAATTTTATTTTTTTAATATAAATTTTTTGAAGCTAAAGTAGGAATGGATTGGTGTTCAATAAGATTCTGACACCTTTTCGCCTCACTCTAGGCAGGAAAAGTCATTGGATGATTTTATCACCCTCAAAAAAGAAAACTACATACTCACACGAATCTACGAGTCACTAAGCCACTTTTCGGCAGTTGGGGCAAGTCTGTTTCTCTTGCAACCACGGCATGATGCAATCGGTGTGAAAATTATGAGTGCAGGGGAGCGAGGTCAGTTCCTGATTGCGAAGCATCACGTCGAAACAGATTGAGCACTCTTCCAGCGACCAGGAGCGCTCGCGGCTGAAATAGATGACATAATTTTAAGTATTTTTTTTTTTAGGCATAAGCCGATAAACTCGCAGACGGAACACCTGATGGTAAGCATTCGGCGTCGCCCATGGACACCTGGGACACCAGAGGCGTTACAAGTGCGTTACCGGCCTTATAGGAATTAGGAGTTTGAGGATCGTTGGGGATTTAGGAATTGGGGAGATTGGGGAAGGGGTGGGTAATTGGGCCTCCGGTAACCTCACTCACACGATGAAACACAACGCAAGCGTTGCTTCACGTCGGTTCTCTGTGAGGTCGTGGTATCACTCCGGTCGAGCCGGCCCATTCGTGCCGAAGCATGGCTCTCCCACACTTAGATTAGGTATAAAAATATTATGGTAAACGAGCAGACGGATCACTTGGTGGGAAGCAATCGACACTGTCCTCGAACACATGCAATATGCAGAGCCGTATTATCCCTAAGGCTACTTGGCAAATGCCTAGGGCGCCAAATTAGAGGAGAACCAAACGGGTAAACGGGGCTCCGGCTCGACGTGCAGGAGAAGGAACGGGGTGGTTTTTAGTCAGTAAGAGTCTGACATTCCCTCTCGCCTCACCCAGGCGGGAGCAGTCATTCGATGATTTTACCCCTTAAAAAAAAGGGCGCCAAATTAGAGGGGCGCTGCGAATCGCGCGTGCCCAACTGCCCAGAGTGATGGCCCAGCGCTAATAATGCACTCTCCACGTACTATTCTTAACCTGTAGTATTCTACGCAACACACAATACGTTTTCTATTGTGTTTTAAATACCGACGTACAAGATGTTAATCTACACTGGCGACATCGGAGGTAACGAACATTGCCGGTCTTAATTCCCCATTAGGAAGAGCAGACTCCATGCCTTTGTAATAGGCATGGCGACTATTTTTTTATTTTTTGTCCGTCTTTTAGATATTTTAAAAATCTTCGATACTTATTTTTTTTTCTCGTATCCAAAAGAACATGTAGATATTTTGAGTTAAAATGACGCGTGACGTCACAATTAGGTACGATTTCTCTGTAAGTGTGACGTCAACACCCCCCACTCCCTAACTTTAATGCGGAATAACTACGTATTCTTCTGTTAATTTGATAAAACAAAAAATACGTGTCTGATATTTTCGTGCGATCTTAATGACGGACTAATTACTTTTTTGATTTTTTTACCCTGTCGACACGCCTATTTT